TTTTATCATCAAATCGTATTTGAGAATAATTGGCGGTCGTCGGCGATCAATTAAAAGGAAATTGGCGGTCGTCGGCGTTCAATTAAAAGGAATCGACGGTCGACGGTGATCATCGGCGGTATCAATATGCACAATATATACGGATAGAAGGTCAGAAGGTCAGACTCCTGTGCAATATCGCAGAAGATTTATAGAATTGTAGGCCTACTGAACTTGTACTCTTGTAGTAGGATTATTTTCACTCAGACACCTGAACCGTTACCTGCGCCTAATAAATTATACCATGCATAAGTGGTACATTATTGATTCCCGAATAAAGGCAAAATAAACTAAACCAGCCATCAATGTCACGTGCGTGCCATTATAGTCACGTGAACCATAAAATCCTGGTCGCTTGTGCCCTCCTCAATTCAATCTGCGCACTTAGCTGACAAAAAACTAAAAGTTCCCCAACAGATTTCGTCATGGTCGCCAGATGTAAATAGGGTTGATGCACGTTATGGTTGACGAGATTGGAGGGTAAGGGCTTAACTTTTAGAACTAACCCTCACCGCACTTTTGGCTAGGAGTAGGAGTTTTTGGATTGACTCCCGGTGTGTGTTTGCTCCTGGGCACTTGCGCATGTCCGAAACTATTGTTTACTATAACAACAGAACTATCCAACGATGTGAGATAGTCCCTATAACTATAAATCAATGATCGGTTCTGGAAAAAAGTATTACGTATTTGGCTAGAGTTTTGTCATTAATAAACACAATTGTTATCGTGATTAGCTGTTGTTGTGGTGATCAGCAGTTACACGATCAGCGGATATAGCCTACCCGACTGGCTTCTCTATTAAAATTGAGACTTCTATCGTTCGTGATTTATGTTACTGTTGTTTTACACGATCAGTGGAAACCATGCAAATTGGTTGAAGCGGAAATTGCAAATTTTTAAGTTATATTTTTAAAATTTATTAAAATAATTAAGCCTGAAAATAGATGGTATCCATAATTCACTATTGCCAGCTGAGAAATTGGCAAAAATATCATTTTCCTCTTCATTTTCAAACGTTTGAAAAAAGCTACTCCATGGTGGAGAATAGAAAACAAGGGAGGTAATTGTGTTATTATTTCCTGTGTAAATGAGTTTTAAGTGTGAGAATGACACCTATGATTGTATAATTGTGAGTTGACAACCTATTGAGCAGAATCTTTGGTTGGGTGTCCTGAAAAGTACGAAAGCGTACTGTTCATTTCTGATACACGGATACTTTTATGCCTGTATTGGAAATAAACAGGAAAGTTTTATCAAAGGTTACCACTGACAACGAGGTAGAAGTGGGATGTAATTAACGTTAGGCTCCTTGTAATTTGAGCCACAAATACTACGTACCCTATTACATTGTAATCTGGAACATGAACCTTGAAAAGCCCTTTCTCTATGAACTATTGTAGTACTATGGTCTCTGCGACCATATTGTACCTTTAACTTATTATTGGGTTCATTGTATAGAAATCATATCCAATCACTCAAATAATGAGTGACGGATTTAAACATAAAAGGAGTTATAATTTGGTAAACATAGCTGGTTCCGTAGGAATCAGAATATCATGTTTAACACGTGATTGGAAATTTACTAATGGCATCATACACTATAACCATACAATCAAATTCACTATTTGCAGAATCTTAAGTCATGACGCAAGCAAATCTGTTAAAAAGCCCAAACCAGTCATTTAAGATTCAGATATCACTGGGTTCTGGAGAGATTACCATCTGAGTTCCTAGCCCATATGATGTAGCAATTTCTATCAGTAGACTTGCCCCAATGGGATTGAGAGAATGACTTTAATTGTAATCTAGTATGCACTGTACCATATGTATCTGGCTTGACAAAAAATTGCAGAACTGTACTATTGCATTGTCATTCCTGGTAAGACAACCGTTTTAACTAATGAGAAGATAAATGTCTTAACGAGATAGTTGAAGAAATTACACAACATGAAAAGGAAGCCAAAGAAGACAATTAAAAATAGTAAGAAAAGATGCATGGGTCATACGCTGGATGAGGCGAACGGTTTAACGATATGTCCGCTTTCCACTTCTGACAAAAGACCCATGGTGCTACACTATATGGATTTATTGAAATTTCATTTAAATTATTAAGTCTGTAATTTCTAATTAATAACATGAAAGGACATGAAAATAACATGAAAGGAGGTCACTTTCCAATGGTTATTTGTAGAATCATTTTTGTTTAAAACTTTTGTTGTTTATATTTGTGCTGAAATAATTGATTATTTTGCTGATCAAATATTGGCTTTTAGGTTCACGATTTAAGTGATTGACTTCGATTTTGATTCCAAATATTTTTTTGTACTTCTCTGTATCATTGTTATTGTTGTTAATTTTGTAGTTCTTAATAAAATTTTAACAACTTCTCAATAAAGCCTATAGTGTTTAATTACTCAAATATAAGCCTATTGTCATGCAAACCATGGGACTTAAATCTGAAGACACTATTTTTTTTAACATAAATTTTTCTCTCCATCTCTTACACTTAAAGAAAATAAAGGACAGTAGTAAGAAATATATGTACTCCTTGTAAATTCGGGTTCAAATATGTTTGCAAATCGGCATTTATACTAGCGTTGCCAAAGGGTTTTTAAATACTCAAAATGTCTCTAAAATGAATATTTCACTGCAATGTCAACTAGTTAAGATTCAACAATCTGAAAGAATTTTGAAAAAATATTGAAAATTAAAAAAGTTATCGTATTTTGAAGATCCAGAATTGGAGGCACTAAAATGCAGCATTTTTTAAAAACGCAAAATACCTGACCGAAACAATCTGAAAGAATTTTGAAAAAATATTGAAAATTAAAAAAGTTATCGTATTTTGAAGATCCAGAATTGGAGGCACTAAAATGCAGCATTTTTTAAAAACGCAAAATACCTGACCGAAACAAATATCTCAGTTCGTCGTTGGAGCGTTTTCGAGATATTCGGGGTCAAATATGGTCATTTGCACTGTAAGTGAATGCACAGCCATTCTTGTATCATGAAAACATGCTGAAAAGTAATCACTCTTTCAATAAAATTGTATACTTGCTAAATTCACCTTTGTCCTTTCTGTGCCCGAAGGTCAAATTTTCTGTTTTTGCACAAGGAAGAAGATTTAAAGCAATAATATCACACCGATTTAGTTTAACGATTGTTATACATAATAAAACTAGATTTGCGGAAAACAATTGAATAGTTTCATGGTTTTACTCCAGCCTACAGGCCGCGTGGATTTCTGGGAATCCCAATCTGAGCAAACCGACATTAATTTGTGACCAAAAAAACACGTATCTAACGACGTGATTAAAAGTCTGCAAATTCTTTTATAGGTGTAACGGTGATATAATTAGACGGGTTTTTTTTAATCGGATAAAAATTGTGACCACAAGAGGGACTACAGCTAAAAACGCGATTTTTCGTGCAAACAGTGGCCATAATTCAGGAAGTTACGGTCTGATATGCGCGAATATCGAAAGGAACCAAGATCCTTGGATTATAAACATATATTTCACGTTTTATCAAAATCAGATAAATATTGTGACCTCTACTACTAGAGTGTCCACAAGCTGAAACGAGATTTTTCGTAATATCAGGGACCATAATGCATAAAGTTACGATCCGACACATGGCAATATCACGATCAACCATGATCTTTTGGAGGTAAAACTACATTGTATATTTCAAGTTTTGTCCAAATCGGAAAAAAATTGTGACCTGTAGAGTGTCCACAAAGAAATATGAGGAACTTTAGACTTCATGGGTTAAGATAAAAGTTAAAGTGTGATGTAATTAACAAGGTTGTGTATATGGATGTCTGTCTAACTTTTACACATTTCCTTTGTTTTGAAAGTGAAATGATATTTATTTCTAATAAAGTAATGAAAAGATAGGTTGCCAGGCAATGAAACATACACACACAGCAGCTAAATTGTGTTAGCAGTCGACAAGGGTTGTCGTATATTTATTCTTTTGTATGCAATTTGGGGGGGGGGGGAGGGGTAATTTACTAGACAATTACATACAGATCAAATCAGATTATAATTTTCTTCGGTTGAGGGTTCGTAAGGTTCTACAAACTGAAACAAGGACTATGTTCATACCTCGATTCTATTGAATAATAATTAACTTAGAACTTTTAGTTTTTAGACTACATGTACCTGTACATTTCACGGATATGGTTACTTGTATAGACAGAGAGAGAGAAATGGGGTTTAACGTCCACTCGACACAAACTAGGTCATTTCAGGACTAACATATGGTTTAATTTTATTTCAATAATTCGCTTGCGCATAGGGGTCTTTAGCAGTGGGAGGAAACGGGAGGACCCGGAGAAAACCCACGAGGTTTACTTGTATAGACAGGCTTCTTAATCTTGCTAATGTAAACAACATACATGTATATCAATTTCAAAACAATCAGATGATAAATGTAGTCTGTAGAGTGTTCACAAGAAATTGTGGGCAACGGATGGGGGCGACGGAAATCTATTACCACATTTCCATGTGAGCGTATATAAAAATGTTAAAACCTATGAAAACAAGATACATTATTGTGCAATTCTAAGCTTGTGTGTTGCTGTAGTAGAATCATCTTTATACGACTCTTAATTAATCATTATTAATGGTATTTTTTATTTGATCCCTAATCAATTAGATTATAATAACAGTTTTTACAGAAAAATAGATATTTGTGGCCATCTGAAACTTTATATATTGCATAGTACAAGATTATTCCATAACTACATGTTATGTAGACAAGTAATTAACATACAATTATCGCGGTTCACCTTCACACAATTTGCTTATTGTATAACAGGGACACTAAATTGATATTTTAACAATTCTTTTTTATGTATTTCTGTCACACATTATCCACACATGTACATGTAGGTACACAAAACTCACTTAAATTGTTTTTGTCCATATTTTGATCCACATCAATATCATGATATAAAACAGTCTTATTTCTTTATGAGATCGACATGACTAAAAATACCAATTATTCATTTATCCTGTTGTTTTCTTAGTAAATATTGATCTGGTTATGAATTGTGATACATATCGTAACACCTGAATCTCAATATGTATATATCGTAATGGTGTCTGCAGTGGCAATACCCAGCACTAATAATAATATACATTTAACCTCCCTCCCGATCTCTCTAATGGGGGAAAAAAACTATAACTGAACCATGTAATTAAGTATCACCCAAGTAACAATCAGTACAATTATGGTTGCAGTACATTTAAACAGTTTGAAGAGCACACAAATGTTCGTCCAAGAAGCCATGTTCTTTTTCTTTTAAAGGTTGTCCATATTAATAATTGATACGACAAGACTTTAATTTCAGCTTTTTTCATTTACTCTACTGTTTGTTTCCATTTGTTTAGTGTCACGGTCACTTGATGATGTTGCTTCTTTAACAAAGGTCTCTTGTTGTTCACTGTTTTTAGACGCATCAACTTCCTTGTTTTCTTCAGTTGAACTGTGTACTCTACTATCTGTTTTATTATCATCATTATTTATACTTTGTTCCGAAGGGGTATCAGTGGTTGTATCTGGTGCTGGCATACTTTCTTCATCAAGTTCCTTTAATGGCGGCATACTGGAATCTGGTTCTACACTCTCTTTTTTATCTGATTCATGAATCTGTCCAACATTTGTGTCAGTTTCCATGGGCATTTCTTCATCTTCATTCGATTTATTATCTCCATCCTTTTGTCCATCCTCTTCTTTTTTCCTTTTCTCATCGACTTTTTTTCTTTCTTCCTCTTGTTGTTGTGCCATTTGAGTCTGTCTGTTTTTAATGTCTTCTTTAGTTTTAGTTATCATACCATTCAACATATCTTCACTTATCTCAGGTTTACTTTCACACAGCTTCTTTAAATCATCATGAAACTGATGACTTGATTCCATAAACTTTTGCTTCTTTGCATCATGGCGCTCTTCAATAGTCTGAAGTTCCGCTTCCAGTTTTTTCTGATGCATTGTAAGTGACTGAACTTGTCTTTTTAATACACTCATTCTACCCGTCGTTACCACAGTACGTACATCTGGTACGACACTTTCACTAAATATATCATTTATCAAACGATGATTTCTAGTGTAACGACAATGAGCTATATGTTTTACAGAAAATCCATCATCAGTTTCATCCTCATCTTCAGCAGGCTGTATACTAATTCTAGGCATTTCCAGTTTCGACTTCGCAGAATTTCTTTGTCTTTCAGCTGATCTTTCAGATGTCCTTTCCTCTTCTTCGATGGCTGCTTCTGCCGCAGCTTTACTTTTAGCGGAGACCCAAGCTTGATAAGCAGGAGAATTATGGTAAGCTTTCATAGCTTCATTATACTGAGACTTTTCCGATTCATATTCTTCAACAAATTCTTGTTTATCTATTTCAGATAAATCTCTCCACATTCCACCAATTATTTTTCCTATTTCCCATAGTTTAAGATCAGGATTAGCAGCTTTCACTCCCTCCCAGACCTTGCGACTGTATCTCATGTATGGCATGAGTGGCTTGTCTGGTGGTTTTGGTGGTTTAGGAATACCACTATCTCGATCTCGTCTCGAACCCATTTTAACTGGCTGAAAGTTAGGATGACCATGACTAGACTGTACAAATGGACTACTCCCCTTTGATTCAGAAGGAACGGGACCTCTGGCTTTACTACCGATTTGTGGCGAGGAAGGTATATTCCTAAAACTAGGAAGAGCCATATTATTAGATGTTTACTTTTTGTATTATATCCCCTGATCTCTGACCGAACAAAGAAAGATGGCCGACTTCCTGTGACGATTACATATCATTTCGGTCCCGTGCAATTTCGGACCTACGACATTTCGGACTCAAAAAAATGTGACTTCGACGATTCGGACTCGGGCAGGTGACCTTTCGGACTCGGGTAGGTGACGTTGAAAGGAAAGGTTGAACACACCTGTCAAATCAATTTATAATAAGCTAAAAAAAAAAAAAAAACGATTTTATAAAAATAACATGCAGATAAAATTTACCGCTCGCCATCAAGTACAGCATGTGGAGTTGTGGATCACACACCGACTTTTAGGAAAATATTAGAAATGGCAACGATCAAAGCGGGACAATTAAAGCTAATAAACCGATAATCCCAATGTTATTGTATGTCACAGTATGTGCAAATTAGAAACCTACGTTTCACGTGAAACACATTATTTCGGCTTATAAAAACAATAGCAGTGTCGATCCATCAATCAGGTTCGTTTACTGTTTGATAAAAGAAAAACAAAACAAAATAGAATAAGCAGCCGTTAATTTTTTATTAGCGGTCTAAACAATCGCTGATCAGTGAAATACCGGTAAAACAAATTAAAGACAAGTATCAGCCTCACATAAAACGAAAACAAACAAAAAACAGGTGTTACTATATTATATCACACAGTTTTTTAATTATCAATCCTAGTCCGAAACCGAATCCCAAAAGTCTTCAAGTAAGTCCGAACAGTGTACAACTTCGAAATCAACCAGGCATACAAAGTCAGTTTTTCAAACAGTTCAGCAGTGAATATTCGCTAGGCCTCTACAATCAGGGCACACTGATCCGCAGTGAATATTTGCTTGGCCGCGTCAATCACTGATAAGGATGACATTGATGCGGCTTAATGAGCTAGAAATATTAACTTTTTTCCTGCGACAAATTAAATTCTAAAACATTTTTTGTATATATTGGAAAAATAAATAAAGGCGTTTGACGTATTTGTAGTTAAAAATTATTTCCGATTTAGTGTAAATGGGTATTAAAATGACTAAAATGCAGCATTCTCTCCGAAGCAGTTGTGTCTTATGTAAACAATGCACGCGCCATTCAGCCAATGATTCACACCGCGTGCTGTGACAGCACGTGTTAAGGCAGTCATCTATGACAGAGATATTATACGAGACTCGTAATTCTCTGTGAAACAGATTGCAATCAAGGATGACATCGGTGTGGGTTAATTCCCGAATTGCAAATGAAATTCTCGAATATTTGTTTGAAGTATTGGTATTAGACAAATAAATAAAGGTGGTTGAAGTATATCTGGATAAAAAACATATTTCCTAATTAGTGTAAATGGGTATACAAATGAGTAAAAGGCACATGCCCAGACAAGTTACCACGTCTTATCTAAACACGTCATTTTATAAGTTACGTTACCACGTCTTATCGAGCCAATGATCGACGTGTGACGTGACGCCACACTTAGAAGGCATTTGGACTTATAAAGGACAGTTATCTTACACAGAGTTTCGTTTTTTTTTTATACTTTAGATGGCCTACACTACATGAAGATCTGACAAGTTATAGCGATAGGTCACGTCAGGGGTCAAAAGACCGACTTATGACCCTATGACGTCAGACATTTGATTAACCTATCAGCATTGATGTTACTAGTGGATTACCCACAGTTCCGTGAAAAACACGCTTAAAGCTCGCCGTAACACACCGTTTCATTGGCTTATCCCTGACACCATTCAGAACACGAGTTAAATAACAACTCTTCCAGATCCAAGTGTAGTAAAGACAAGTAAAACGAAATTTTAAACTATAAAAACGAAACGAAATAGGAACTGTGTTTTAACCAGATTGAATTTTAGTGTGCTTTAAATTGACTTTTTGATATGCATGTACAAGGACTTTTTATTTCGTGTTTTTACCAATTTTAAGGTGACGTTTTTATTTTATGTTTCTACCAATTCTCAACCCATTAAGTGTAAATAATTTAATAAAATCATCCTATCCATAATATCATATTTCATGTATTGGACGTAGGCCTACGTTAAATCTTTAATAAACAACAACAATAGAGTTTTATTTGCGATATCATCTCTGTGGAAGCGGACCTTAAAAAAGTAGCTAAATCCGTAACTCAATATCTTTGACATTGAAAACACAAATTGTTTTGCAATTTAAATCAGCATTGGTGTTGTGGTCTGACCCGGAAAAGATGGGCTTTTGATATCCAATATTTAAGAGAAAATAAATATTTTAACATTGGTACACGAATCGTGTACCATAACGCAGTAAAGCATGGGCAGTAAAGCACGAGATAATGATATATACATTATGTGATATCACAATTAATGCTTTGCATCCATGAAATTGAATCACAATGTCATTGTATTAATTCATAATAAAAATTGACGTCAAACGAGGTGTTGAATTTCTCTGTTTAAAAAGCTCAATGTGTATGTATATATACGCCAAAATGACGATAGAGACCATGCGGGAGCGGGGGGGGGGGGGTACATTGTCTCAGGAACCTGGCAAACCCCCTCCTGCAAAAATTCCTGGATCCGCCCCTGCAAGGTGCTCAAATAATGAGGCTAGACATATTCCACAAGTCATATTCTTATTTGGAGAGCATGCGCAATAAATACTATAAATGTTGACTGGAATAACCAGACGCTAGAAACTGTCTTTCGCTTGAGACTCCTGGCGTATTTCGCCGAACATAACTGATGACAATTCACAGTAAAACGGAAACGATTGAATGTAAAACAGTTTATATAAATTCATATTACATTATTATGTGTTGCGACCCATTTGTGCCAATTTCTAGGTCCAAAATATTAGCGATTTAGCTACTTTAAATAAAGCTATTTCACATACATACACTGAGTTCTTGTCTAGGCTACGATATCACCCTTGGTGGAAGTGGACGTAAAACCCCGAGAAAAAGAAGTACACAGAGTTACTTGTCTACGATATCACCCTCGGTGGAAATGGACGTAAAACTCCAGGAACGAACGAACGAACGAACACAGAGTTAGAAGAAGTTCAAAAGAGTTTCGAATTACCTCTGTAAAACAGATTGACTACGCGAAAGTAAAGGTGCGGCAGCAATTTGTCCAATCTTAGTTTCTATTTGTACCTATGTTATAAATATATTATACTCTCATTGTAGGCTACATTATGTAAATACTTTAATTTTTATACACACACATTTATAATGTTGACGTATTATGCCGTCACCAATGTCTGGGTGTGTGTGTGTATGTTTGTGTGTCTGTGGATCGCCTACAGGGCACAATTCTTAATGGTTGTCTTGAAACTATACTTATTTCTTATACCCTAAGGATGACCCCTATTCGGAATGACCCATCATAGGGTTATACCTATTTACATTGGTTCATGTCCAACCCCTAGGGGCAGAGCCACGCTAAATTTTTGTGTTTTTTGTCTTTAGGCTGGAATTCAGAATGAATCATCTTTGAACTTGGCATATTTATTGCTGTAAGGATAGCAACTATTTATTTATGTCCCGACCCCCAGGGCTGTGGTACCACACTCACTTTTTTGTCTGTAAATACTCTACGGGCTGCTATAATTAACATATTTTGTTCAAATTCAGCATATCAATCATTTCAATAACAGAGTGGTACCTTTTTATTGTTCCAAATCCAAACCCCAGGGGCAGAGCCACACCCAATTTTTGTATTTATCATATATATGCTCAAATTCTGAATGGATCATCTTGGAACTTTGCATATTTATTCCTTATACCGTAAAGACTGCAACACTATATTTTGGTGCATACCTCGACCCCATGGGGAGGTGTCACACCCACTTTTTTGTTAATATTTAGTCTCTAAATTTGGCAAAACAAACCCAACGCCAAGCCTTCTTTGCCTGGTGTCATATTGCAGTCATTGCAGCTATTTCATTCTCTTCATTTTAAAAAGTACAATATCAATGAAAGCAGGAATATGTACGTACATTGCTGTAGATTATGTGTACTATTTGACCTACAGAAATAATTTGAACTGGATTATTAACGTCATTAATTAACAAGTAAATGTGTGATCACCTTGATCTAATCAACAGGGTTACTGTGTATAGGCTAAGTCTAAGTTTTAAATGAAGGTGTGATTTAATAACTAGGTCGATGTGTATATATTACTGTATACTGGTATCTAAATTTTACAGTTGTCAGCTAAGAATCTCAGGGGCGGATCCAGGAATTTTTGCGGGGGGGGGGGGGGGGGCATGTTCCTAAGACAATGTATCCCCCCCCCCTCCCGCATGGTCTCTATCGTAATTTTGGCGTATATACATACACATTGAGCTTTTTAAACAGAGAAATTCAACACCTCGTTTGACGTCAATTTTTATAATGAATTAATACAATGACATTGTGATTCAATTTCATGGATGCAAAGCATTAATTGTGATATCACATAATGTCTATATCATTATCTCGTCCTTTGAGTGCCCATCCTGTCCCAAATCTTACGATAAAGGATTAAGCGGGCGAGAAACCTTTCTCATAAAAAGTGTTGATTTACAAAAAAATTATGTAGCTGAGCAGGGGGGGGGGGGGGGTCGACCCCCCAAATCCACCTTCTGGATCCGCCCCTGAATCTGGCCAGTCAGCCAGACCGCAATCTGCCACGGTCCCCTTAATTAAGCAGCAAAAGAAACGTCAGGCTGGTGTGTTACTCTGAATGGACGCATTGCATAAAACTTGCCAAATGTTTTTATCGTATATTTGTGATCACATCTCCAACTTTACCTGAGCAATAAAGTTCCTTCCCAAACACAGAATTGAACCCAGGAAATGTTCTCAAGATAGCAACCTGACTTCTGAGATGGATGGTAATGTGTTCTCCATGATTTTCATGTAACTCATGCTGCACGTGCTGTTCACCGAGACCAGCCCTATAAAATGCACCCCCACGACGACAGCTCAGAGGAACCAGGCGTTTGGAAGACTCGACGCTGGCCACACTGCCCAAGCCGTTGCCAGTCACTTCCAGGTCAATGTTCGGACCATC